ATTTACGTGTAATATTATTTTAATAAAGAATGTGTGGTTGAAAAGAAGAGAGAGAAAAATGCATTTTGAAAAAAATGGATACCTGACGGGGCTTTAATATTACTGGGAACACATGTAATGGTGGAATTTGTGATTTCTTCTATATTTACCGGCATAGTTCAATATTTTAGAGCTGCTAAGAGTGCTAAATAAGATGCTTTCTCTAGGAATTCAGGAGACTAATAAGTTTGTTTAAAATTGAATGCACGTCATTCAGAAATTGTCCTCTGATTTATATATGATTTGTGATTTCTTCTATATTGACAGGCATAGTTCAATATTTTAGAGCTGCTTAGAGTGCTAAATAAGATTCTTTCTCTAGGAACTCAGGAGACTAATAAGTTTGTTTAAAATTGAATGCACGTCATTCAGAAATTGTCCTCTGATATGTGTGTGTGTGTACATGAAGAATGATCTGTAATTCATGTTTGTTGTTTTCCACTTCTATCCTTGCAGGGATTCTGAGCCTGTCAGATTACTTGCCTTACAGTTCATTGGAAGACTTTTAGTTGGTCTTCCATCAGAGAAAAAAGGATCCAAGTTTTTTAATATTTCTGTTGGAAAGTTCAAATCTCTTCCTGAAGGACATAAGAAAATCAGATTGCATATGCAACCAATTTTCTCTGTAATTTCAGACCGGCTGTTCAAATTTCCTCAGACAGATCTTCTGTGTGCAACATTACTTGACGTTCTTCTTGGAGGTGCTAGTCCAAAACAGGTGATGTACCATAATGTTATCCATTTCATCTCATCATTCATGCACCATTTCAAACTTGTGTATGTGTTTATATGATTTTACATGCTGCAAAATTTGTAATTGAATTAACATTTTAAAATTCGTCTGCAGGTTTTACAGAAGCATAACCAGTCTGATAGTCAGAGAAGCAGCAAATATAACTCTCAGTTCTTTCTTCCTCAAATTTTGTGTCTCATTTTCAGATTCTTGTCAGGTTGTATGGATGCAACTGCTAGAATAAAGATCATTGGAGATATAATTGATCTCCTAGAATCAAATCCTTTAAATATTGAAGCTCTAATGGTAAGGAAAATGTGGCTTGTTATGATATTGTTCATAAGTTTCTTCGTCTGATCAGATGAACTTTTCTGTAGGAAAATGGATGGAATACTTGGTTGGAAGCATCTGTGAAACTTGATGTGTTGAAAAATTACAATGAAAAGTCAAGAATTCAGAAAGAGACTGAAATTGATGAGCAAAATTTCATAAGGAACTTGTACAGTCTTGTTCTTTGCCATTATGTGCATTCAGTGAAAGGTGGCTGGCAACAATTAGAGGAGACAGTAAATTTCCTACTCACTCAATGTGACCAAGTATGCCTCTGTCTTACTTGATAGATTAACCATTTGCATCATGTGAACATTATCCATGAGCAAATATTTAACAAATTCTTATGTCTACAGGGTGGCATCTCGTATCAGTCCTTTCTTCGTGATATATATGAGGACTTGATTCAGAGACTAATAGAATTGTCTACTGAAGAAAACATATTTGTGTCACAGCCATGTCGAGACAACATGTTATATCTTCTGAAACTAGTTGATGAAATGCTCATTTCTGAGATTGATCATAAGCTTCCGGTATATTACTTAAAACTTCTGCCTGCTTCTTTGTTTAGCTTTATGGTCCTTTTCTGGCTTCAAATTCGATAAGAACTTACCTTATTTATATTTATCACTGGAATCAGTTATATGCCTTTTACCTAATTTCTGAATTCCTGTCATTACCTTTTCATACTTTCCTCACCCCAAAATTTAAGTATTCTGTAAGTTACTGAATATAGTGTTCAGCTCAAATTGTATTTTGAACTCCAAGGGAACACCAGGAAATTTCCATCCCAGACTCCTCCTTGATGTTATTATCCCTTCGGATTAGCGGTCAAGATTACTTTGAGTTCAGGATTGATGGTCTTATTTGGTTTTTTGGAATAAAATGATATTGACTATCAATCTCCCTACATCTGTTATAAAGAAAATGAAGGAAAAATTAAGTGACAAGAAGAAAGATGAATTCAATATCATGAAATACTGCTCTAGATGAGACTGGTTATTTTTCAGCAAGTCCAAAAATTTTGCTCGTATAAAATATTTATAAAGGGACTTCTGGTTCCATATATTATCTCTAGCTGATTATTTATCTCACTTGTGTTGGCTTGAAGTTACTGAGGTGCAACGTATGTTGTCAGTTAGATGGTCAAAGCTAGTTGGAAATAATTGGCTTATAATTGATAGCAGTATAATCTTTTCTTCCTTTCCAATAAAGAGCTTATTTACTTATTTAATTTTGATTAGATTGACAATTCATTCTAATTTTGACTGGCATATTTGTATGTTTGAAACAGGTTTGCTATGCTATTAACTTTGATTTTGGTTGACATAGTAAAATGCTCTGATATATGTTGGTTCAGTGTTCTATAAAAAAAAAAAAAAAAAAAAAAAAAAAAAAAAAAC